GAACGATGAAGGGCAGTGAAGATGACACAGAAGGAGCCGGAAAAGACAGGTTTTTCTCAAAGAAGTTAATTGGTGGGTGTTCCAATCGATGATAAGTATGAGAAACCAGAATCTAATATAATGAAGATGGACAACCGGCAATAGAATGTGATCTCTAAGAGAGTAAAACCCATTGATGTTGGTACATAAATCTAGATACTAATGAATAAGACGATGAGTCCAAGTAAAGAACAACCAAAGGTTGAATCGGATGGAATATTATAAGTCATGTCGATGATATGTGTAACTAGTGTGTTAACCAACCATGAAGGTGAAAAGAGAAGGTCAACTAAAGAACCATAATAATAAATAGAAAGGGTTTGAGGTCAACTGAGGACCATGAGAAAAGAGATAGCTTCGAGTGAAGAAGCGAGACTGTAAATCTGTTAATGGATGAGCGAAAGAGTCAAAGAGGGAAAGACTCGATGAGTTTGGATTTCTGGATCAACAAACTCAAGCTTTAAATAGTGAAAGAAAGAATGCTACAAATGAGATAAAACAGTATAAAGCTATTCTAATCTGGACTGATGAGAGCACAGAAAGATACAAGCATGAATAAGAAAATATGCTAATAAAGAGTTTGAGAAAAAACAGAGAGCTACAATACATGAATACTAACAGTGGCAGGTTTAGATACCTGCCTAAAATCCCCCTCAGTTTGGACCCCCACCGGTGGGTACCTGTTTGCCCTGACTGGTACCTGTTGGCAGGCTGCAGGTACCCACCTACAGTTAGGAACAGCCATGTAAAGGCTGTTTCAGCCCTGAAATTCTCCTCAATTTGGACGCCACACCAGCCAATGGGTATCAAGTACCTGATGCCATCCCTAATTTATTGTTTTCTTTTATTGATTTTATCTTTTGCTTGTGATGAAATTCATATTCTTTCAAGTCTACAAAATTCTCAGTTTTTTGTGGAATTGGATGCATCCCCAGTGAGATATTGATCTTCAAGAAAGAGTGATCATAGGAATCAACCCTTTCATGAACAGGTATCATATAAGGATTGCTGGGAACCCTAAAGAAGAAAAAAGAAGGATAGCAACGGTGGGCCGCTACGCTACGCTACGCTAAATGGCCATTTAGCGTTAGCGTAGCTGCTGTTGCAGCAACCTTTTTTTGTGTAGTGTTAGTTTGCGCTACAGCCCACTAAGCTACGCTAACTTTTAGCGGCGCTAACAACACACCTTTTTTTGGGTAGTGTTAGCGCACCGCTACAGCCACTACGCTGCGTTACGCTACGCTACAGCGCTGTTAGCGGCAAAAAAGGCCAAAAAACCGCTAAAAAGCGCTGTAGCTTGGTGTAGCGGACGCTTTTTTGCGCCTCATGGGCGTAGTGTTAGTGTGGATGAGTGAAATAAAGCTAACACTACGCTAACAGCTAACACCCACTGGCGCCCTGCGTGCGTAGTGTTAGTGCAAATTTTCAGATTTGCGCTAACACTACGCTACAAGTTAGCTTATTTTAGCTACACTAGGCTACACTAACACTACGGTTAGTGTAGCTTGCCCACCGTTGAGGATAGCCACCCAGAGAATGTTATATTAGTATCTGATTACATCACGAAGAAAAGAAAAAAAGGTAAAACAGAAACATGTGGCTTACAAAAGGATAAATGTTGCAACAAACTAGAAATTTTTTTCCACATTTCTTGACAACATTTGGATTGTCAGTTGGATCTGGAGCCACAGATTAAACAAATAGTACAACTTTAGTGTCATTGTATGATATTCAAAAGGGGTTTATCACAATCATGAAGTGGGACCTGCTAGCTTACGGTTTACATCCTTCTTGCAAACCAACCTCTGATTGCTTGCGCATGCTGAACAAGCATCAAAAACCACGCCCATCAAAAGGATGAACACAAAAGCTCCGGTCTGCATTATAGTATACTTGATTGGGGTAAATCAGCGATGATGGGTCTTGTGGGCAACACTTGAAAGTGATCGGTGACAGCTTTGATCAAAAGGATTGGGATGGAGATGCTTTCAAAGCCTCTAGTTAACAAATGGTAAGTTGTAGAGATCGTTCGTTTGTACTTGGGTACCTGTTGGTACCTAGGTACCTGTTGAATTTTTTCAAAAAATAGGTACCAAGTACCGCACCAGGCACCTCCCGGCGGGTACCGGGCGTTACTTTTGGCGGGTACGGCGGGTACCTCCCCTCTCTTTCTAA